TAATCTTCCCTCTTCTCTGAAGCTCACTCTCTCTCTCGTATGTTCAATTCAAATAAGATCCTCACTTATGGACTACTTCATTATTGTTATTACTTATTCAATACCTTACAATTAGCTATGCCGTGGCTACTTATTACAATCAGTTGTATATATGCACAGTCATGCATAAATAACAATAAATAAATAACAATAAATAAATAACATGAACCTACCACACACACACACACTCATGTCACATTAGCTTATGTACAGAAACATGTACATATACAAGCATCACACACACAGATACATGATAATACTCACACACACATAACATTGCACGTTATAGATACACGTCACAAATACATGTCATACATTCATAAATTCTCACATACATTATATGCACTATCATACACAGACACATCGTAATGCATGCACACACACCCGTCACATATAGACACACATCACCATCACACACAAACACATGACACACTAGCAAGCATGCTTAATTACTAACAAATCTGCTTTATGTACATTAATACAAATTTTATTCAGTTTGAAATTGACGTGTATCAATGATGAGAATTATTGACCTGATGAAATGCTGTAATAATGTATCTCATTACATGTCGAAGAACCAAAGCCAGCATCTTCATAACGTGCATTAGGTTGTTTAGGTGCATAAGATGATGTTCTTCCTCCAATTATGGCAAGGTAGTCTTCATGATGAAAATGTACTGCTACCATTCCACAGTGGGCCTTCATCATTGGACCGTGAGCAGAACTAGACGGGGAGAGTTCTCTCCAGTTGAATGAATCCACATTAAAGCAGTACAAGCTATTATAATAGCCACCACAAGCACCGCCAAAGTAATAAATATCCCTCCCAATTGCAATAGACGAATGGCCCCATACACCTGGTGGAGGGGTACCACTGGTTGGCCTTTGCTGCCATATACCAGATGGTAAGTGATACACCTCCATTAATGATGCAATTGCTTTCTTCTTTTCACTCTCATCAGTTTCATGTACTCCAGACGGGTACCCACCCCACATATATAGGTAGTCTCCTATTTTTACTGTGGAGTGTCTATTCCTTTGCTCTGGTTGATAGCTTACACTCCCTATTAGACAGAGTAACGGTAATAATGATGAGTTATTTATAAGGACAAGATACAAAGTAAGTTAGAGAGACAAAGAATGAATGAAAGAGATATAAAGAGAAGAGAATAGTGGCACTCACTTATAGATGCCATTCTTACAAAATCCAGCCCCACCCAAAGTTTGGGTGCGGCTGGATTTTTCAAGAATGGCCAATACGAATTGACGGACCAGATATTGCTT